TTCCACCCCGCATCTCTCCAGCTCTCATCCCATCTCTACGCTCTCACAAGACTTTGGGAAGCGTTAACTATGGAGTTTTAACCACAGGTGGCATCAGCCGCTACCTCAGGTGCTTTACTTACACGCCTGTGCCAAAGCACACCAAGGACACAAACCCAGAGGCCACACACGCTCTGACAAACAGGAAGATGGTTGACAATACTGTAGCTCCAACCACTTCTTGCCTCCATCAGAAAGATGGTGGTAGGAAATTACCCTCCACTTGCCGAGCTGCCACAGAGCCGTGGCGAGGAGTGACAGAGGTGATAGCCTACTGGTGTTGAATAGACAGACAGGAGAAAAGATGGAAAACGAGACTTGAAGAAAAGAGGAGGATGCATGCAGCAGAGGGCTGAGGGAGAAAGAGTGAGGTGAACAGACAGACTACATTGAGCAATTTTTTATCAGGACAATAGAAAACTGATACTGAACAATATATTCCCCTTGGAAATTTAACTTTCCAAGTTAATTGTGTTAAAGGTCATGGGACCATGGAGTGTAACATTTTCCAGGAATATTTTCACTAGCAATCTTCATGGTGCCAGAGGGGTGACAAAAAGAATAGTATGAAAATAGAAATTTAGATGTTGACATTTATCTTTCACTCACTGTACTGACAAGTATGTTGCATTAAGCAACAGGGAAGATGCTGAAGCTACTCTAGACTAGAATAATATTCTGTTCTCATTTGCACAGATACAAATCAGGAGAGAAATTAGATAAGGAGATAAGCTAGTAAGGGTATCCATTTTCGTATGTGCTTATTTATGTGTAATATATGCAATGTCCTTCCCCCCCAATTTGCTATTTTTAGTTTGAACTGAGCATAGTCTCTCGCCTAGTACCTCAGTGAACCATATTTCCTTGTGCCTCCAGAGGCAAATACATCTAAATGCATTTTAGAAGATTGCTTCTTTCCACCGACTCCGGTGAACATTACAAAGATCCATCATCACTTAACATGCAAACCCCATAGTTAGGAGAACTCTGCAGAGCAACATCAAGTCCGTGGCTGGATTTGGTCTCTGTTTCAGTGAGTTTGCCAGCAGCAGAGTCTGTAACTCAAGCAAGTGATTTTCACACAGCTGGAATTGGCCATTATGTTCGAATGTGCTTATCTGGACACTGAACAAGCGTTTTGTTTTCTGGAATAACCACTTACGGAGCATCCAGATTAGAAAGTACAAACATATTGGCTAAATTGAATTCAAGGCAGTCAGTCACCCCAAATTAAACACTCAAGTGAAGGTATTTCCAAATACAGCAGCAACAACTGAGTATCACACAAATGGGGCAGCCCCATGCTTAAAACATAGGACTGAGAGCTATTAGATCTTAGTTCCCCCTCCTACTTCTGCTGCTTGTCTTCTCCTCTTGGTCTCAAGTAAATTATTTATTGTCAAGATTTACATTTCCCCAGATTCAACAAGAGGCAGTTAGACTCCCTGGCTTTAAAGAGCAGTGTAACCATAACAACAGCAAGCATGTGGAAGGAAAGACCGTTCCAGTAAGCTCAACATTGAATGGCAAAGGGCCATTGTAAATTCTGTAAATGAAACCAATGGGCTAGCTCAAGCCCCACTATAAATGGTGATGTGACCAATATCATATGCTTCTTTAGAAAAACAGTAAAGAATAATTTTTTAACTGTCTTTTTCAAAGCTCAGCAAGTTTTGGACTCAACAGTTGGAAAAATGGCCTTCTCTTAAATTATGTTGTTTGTATAAGGCTGAGAGGTCTTTCTGACACTCAATGAATCAGATCCATTTGCTCATGTGAAGGCAAACATAACCACATCTGTCACCGGAACTGCTTTCGCTGCAAGTGCAGACTGGACAGCTGTATACAGAAATGACCAGTCAGGTGTTTACTAGTCCAGGCTGTATCTCTGCTCAAATGCATTTTTAAGATAGCTGTATAAACAAATTAGGGGTTACAATTACAGATTCCTGTCTCAAACAACCAACTTGGAATAAGACTGCATGTGAATCAGGGTGAAAAGTGATGCTAGGTAACTTGGTACCTTATCATATTTGCCTAATGAGAATGACAGGATGAATTAAATTTCCATTATCTGTGGGAGCACTGGTTTTGAGGGCAACTGTTCTTACAAAGTGACCATTTTATTTAACAACTTTTTAAGAGGTGTACTCTATAGCATATCAATGCAACACAATTAATACTTCTAAAAGCCCCATTACCTGTTGGTCATCTGGAGTCCATATGCCACAGGTGATCTGACTCTCCAAGTTTATTTCTGAAGACCAGTGTCTTTGTCCGCTGACTGAACCGACCAGCACAAATCCATCTCTATAGGAGATAAGTGCTTGAGTCCCATCATGGCTCCATGTAAAGTCGCTTACCTTAACACATCAAAGACAAGAAAATAGAAATATGGGCCATGTAGGAATTTTTTGTTGTTTTAATAAAAGGTGGCACTACACAGAACTAGACAGGGCAACTATTAGCCCAGTTGTAGCTCTGATGTCACTGCTACTGGATAAAGCAACTGCCCTTGCAAAGTGTCTTCGTGACAATTCTTGCATATTCCTTTCAATAAAGAAATGTTTCATTTTCTCCTGTGCTTTTCGAAAGGTATAAAGCACCATTCATTGCCCTCTTCATTTTCCCTCTCAGGACTTGATCACTCTCGACTGCAGAGAAAACATGCATACCAACCTGTGCCCCCCGATCATTCACAAGCTCCACAGACCATCTGCCTTCGTATTGTATCCAAACAAATATTCCTCCATCTGCATCGCAGGTTGCTAATTTCTGGAATGGTTCGTTCCATCTCACCAGCACAACCTTAAAAGATTACAAACAAAAAGAGCATTACCAAAACTGCATTTTGTGCTAACAAATATTTAACAAGAACCAGTTAAACAATACCGCAAAATAAACATCACCGCATTTAAATCCTAAAGAAGATGTACAAAGTAGTAATTTTCAGCACAGCATTAGGCGCCTCGCAAGAACAGCTGGAATCGTTCTGTCATGGCTGTCAGGAAATGCACAATCTCTCACCGTCAGGCCTTTTTGGAAGGCATCGCAAGTTTTCAACAAAAACATACTGTATACCGGTACGTAGGATTTCATTACAGAAGCAGCAAACAGGAGGCCCGGTACAGACCATCCAACACCCTTTCAAATTATTTCCCCCACCGTAATCTCAGACTGTCAGACTCTACGTCAAATCATCACCTCTTGCTGACTTCAAATGAAGTTGCATGCACTGGGATGAGATTGAATTTGAACTCTTCTATAAATAGTGACATGAAAAAAAAAAATTGAGATTCCCAAATTATTAAAAAATAGACATTTCATAGAAAAGTTGCTTTGCTATTGAGTGCAGAAGGAATACAAAGCAGTTTTAGGCTCTTCTCTCAGAATTAGAGCTATCTGGGCTTTTCTGGACAATATAATCAAGTCTAAACCTAACAAATTGCTCTCTCATTTCTAATGAATATCAATTTAACAAATACAGTGTCTCTTGAGACCTCAGTGTAGAACTGAAAAAAGCATGTCATCCTAGTGCTTGAAGCAGAAATTAGCTGTAAAACCATTTACCTTTTGTTAGTGACTTTTTCTTAAAAAATTTTTTCTAAATTAGTTTTATTTCAAAAACACGCAGATATATACAGGATGATTACATTCATACACAAGGAGATTCTCTCCAGTTACTTTATAGACACACAGCATATGCAAACAAAGAACACATATATTAAACAGCCAAGCAGTAGGGAGTTTTTTTAACTACTTAATGGGCATCCAGCTCTAATGATGCTTTTTCATAAATCTAAATAGATAATTAACCATTTCAAAGAGACAGAAAGAGAAGATTTTCCTGAAATATATTTTGCTGTTTACAGAGAAGTACCGATGCTCCTAAAGATTCCCGTCCTAAAATGAGCTCTGAGTAGACAGACCCATCACGCTTCACAACTAAATCAGCAGTCATTTTCAGAATTAGGATATAAATATGTATATCTGAAACCCAACCTTGAGAGCTGAAAAAAGATGATCTTACACTTATTTAGCGAGTGCTACACTTATTCACAGAGAAAAAAAACAGAGAACTTCAGAATGTGTACATCAGTGTAGCTCGCCAGCCTGAAGCATCAACCCTTGAATGATTAAACAGCTAAAAGAAAACTGTTTCTTCATGCACACGTGAAGATTATGGGGAGAAGTGAGCATAACAAACCACCTCTCTGTCGTTAAGCAGATAAGCAGAATCCCATTTGAGATTTTGCAGAAAAACACTTGCTTCTGTTTGATTATAACCTTGCAAGCTGCACTCCAAGTCGCAAGTCCTGTCTCCAGTTGGGTGGATTGTATTATGCCACTAGATGGATTATATCACACATTGCTTTTTTTTTTTTCCCCCCTGA